ATAGTCCTCATGAGGCTGGAGGTTCCGAGCCCAGTGACTATATTTGTCACATTGTGGGTGATCATTTGCTGTTTGTTGAATAACTGAGAGATCACTGAGCCCAATGAGGGCCAAAGTTCAAGCCTAGACTCTGTTTTCACAGATCCTCTGTTTTCATGCTCCTAGGGAACACTGCCAACTCAGCAGAGGGAAAGGCTGGACCATCCCTTTGTGAATGCTGCCACCTAGTGGCCAGACTCAGAAGCGCAGCCAGGCATCACCTTCCCAGTGCAAGGACCGAAGTGGGAGCTGGAGATGCCCTATAGAATCAGGCCTGATCCCTGAGCTCCAGGCTGGTCCAGACAAATAGAGGGGAGTGGGGAGGTAGCTCTGATGGTATCCTTTGAACACTCTTGATGAGTTCCAAGCAGACGAATAGCAAGAGCAAAGACAGGCAGAAAATCTCATGGCACATGGGGCAAGTAAGGCATTAGTGTAGCCAGGGCCCAGGATCAAAGAGGACCGGTCCAAAGATGGGCTGAGCCATGGCAGTGACCAAGCAAGGGGGCCCTTTAAGGCCATCCAGTGAATGAATTTGGATCTTGTCTTCTAATCTGGGCATGGGGAGACTAAGGGAGCAGAGTGATAGATCTGGGTGTGGCCACACACTTGGAGGCTCAATATTTATTCATTTACTCATTAAATACTATTTATCAAACACCTACTATGTTCAAGATCCTTGGGTTACATCAGTGAACAAAACGAAAATTCCTGCCCATTTGGAGCTTACATTCTCATCAGAAGGAGACAAACAATAAACAAAAACATTAAAAAAGTAAATTGTATTTAAAAGTAAAAAAAAAAAAAGGCAGGGTAAGGAAGATCAGAAGTGCTTGACTGCAGTTTTAAACGGAGTGGTCAAAGTCGGCCTCGGTGAGGTGACAGTTCAGCAAAGACTTGAAGAAGGGAGGGAGATAGTCATGCTGGTATTTAGCAGAAGTGCACTCTAAACAATGGGACTAGCCAGTGGCTTAGTTTGGAGGAGAGCACCAGAGACCAGTAAGGAGCCTGTTGCAAGATAATGAGGGGCACAAACCAACAGAGGTGAGGGAATGGGGACCTAGGAAGCAAAACTGGCAGGGCTTGGTGCCTGCCTGGATACAGGGGTTATATAACCCCTCGTCATAGTGTGTTAATTCCTCATTTCAAGGCCAACTAACTTACTATACGTGCCACCTCTAAGGCAGGTTAGTATGAATGCTTAGCACGTTCCATCCTGGATGACTCCATCACCCACCTGGAAGCTCCCCTCTCCCCAGCCTCTTAATTCCTCAACCTCACCTTCAGTGACTTTTCCTCCAGGCCACCCAGCTATCTAACTCTCATGCCCACAGCCAAGTCCTGCCAGCTCCTAAAACTCTCAAAGCCACTGACTCTTCCTTCTCATTCTTTAGTTACTGTTATGGGTTGAATTGTGTCCCTCCAAAAAAGATATGTTCAAGTCCTAACTCCTAGTACCTCAAAATGTGACTTTATTTGTAAATAGGGTCTTTACAGAGGTTATTATCAAGTTAAAATGGAGTCATTAGGGTGGGCCCTAATCCAATATGACTGGTGTCCTGAAGAAAAGGAGAAATTTGGACACAGAATCAGACACACACAAAGGGGAGATGACGTGAAGATGGATGACTGGAGTGATGCATCTAAAAGCCAAGAAGGCCAAAGACTGCTGGCAAACCAGAGGCTAGGGTGGATGAAGGCAGGATTCCCCTACAGATTTCAAGGGAAAATGGCCCTGCAGACATCTTGATTTTGGACTTCTAGTCTCCCAAACTGTGGGACAGTACATTTCTGTTGTTCTAAGCCACCCGGTTTGTGGTGGTTTGCTACAGCAGCCCTATCAACTGATACCACTACAATGCCCTCTCCTAGTTCTCTCAATAACTGCATCTCACCCCACCCCACCCCAGACATTTACATGGCCACCAACTCTTGCCCCTTTTTATCTTCACTTTTTTCCAACCCAATTTGGATTCCTTGGTCCTTGACTACATGCAGTCTCTTGCCAGTCTCCTCACTATTCTTCCATCATTCCTGCCTGTTTTGACCTCACCTCAGTCTGGAAGAATACAACATGCTTTCTCTGAGTCCTCACCTGTTCTGTAGGTGCTGCTGGAGCTCACAACATGATGGTCACCGGCCTCAACTGGGTTTTTAGCTTTGCCTGGTCACCCTCTTGTACCCCCATAGCTATCTCTCCCAATTGCAAGAACTATCTCACACTTCCTTCCCACCAGTCTCCTTACTCCATTCTCACCAGCAGAGCTGGACTCCTGCTTCAAGATATAAGCCTTCTGAACTCCTCCCTTATGTCCCACCTTCACCTCCACACCCATCTGCATGCATACCCATCCTCAACTCCTTCCATTATAGGGAATCATCTATCCTCTTCCCTTAGGGAGGTCCATACCTCCATGCTTCTGGGTCCCATTCCCTTTTACCCCCTCAGGAATCTCATTCTGAGTTATTCACAATCTTCTGTATCTTTAATCTCTTCCCCTATTGGCTTCCTCTATCAGCCTATAAACACATTCAAGTCTCTGCCAGCTCATTAAAAATAATTAAAAACTCTCTCTGTAGTCTACATTTCTCTCCAGCTATTTATCACCTCTCCTCCCATTCACAGTCCAACATCTTGAAGGAGCTGTTTCTACTTCTTTACATGTTGTGCCATGGCATAACCTTTTCTGGAGGCAGAAGCCATACTGTAGTGGCTTAAGGATAAAGAAACGGAATCAGCAATTATACACAACTCTTATGCTCCTTCCTTAGTGTAGATGGAAGACTTTCTGACCCCTAAAGGTCTCCCTTCTCTCTGGCTTCCTCCCTCATTTCCTCCTGTAGGCCCTAGTTGGCCCTGTAGAGGCCAAGGAGGGAAACAGCCCCAGAATCACTAAACATCCCTCCCTCAGCAGGTGACCTATTTCCTGATTCTCTGAGTTGCAGACCTTGTTCTTCCCAAGGGATTTTGACCCCAACTGTTTCCCTCCACATTATCCCTGCCATCATCCTGGAGATCCCAGGTGGTGCCTTGACAGGCTGCCCAATTGGGAGCTTCTCCTAGGACTCCCAGAGCTTGTGATGACACCTTATACTGAATCATTCCTTCAGCACAGGTCACCATGCTTATTCCACATGATGAATCAATCCTGGCCACAGGAGGCTAGATCAGAATGGGCTGCTGAGCCAAAGATCAATTGTCTGCAAGTGGCCTGTCCCCAAAGCTCTGGCGACTAATGGCACTTGGATAGTTGTTGGTGGTAGAAGACACACCAGTGGAGATGCTCAGAGATAAAACAATATGCAGAGGCTGGGAGGGAGCAAAGACTCTGATTTAGCCACAAAGAGAATGGGAGAAGTTAGGCAGTTGCTGGTAGCAACAGGCCTGAGTCACCACCACAGCATCTAGGGGTGTGTTGGGTGCTCCATGAGCCTCTGCATTTAAGAGGCCTGGCTGTGCAGATGCTGAGAGGGCTTCCTGTCTCTCCTAATACCCCCCTGAATCTCCATCACCTGCCCCTCCCTCAGGGTCTTCCACATCACTGGCCATCCTACTTTGGAAAGCAAAGGATGATGTAGTGTTCAAATATTTGATCACAGCCTGCTGGCCCTGTAGTCCACTCATCCCTGATAGAAGCTCTTATTGAGGCCTCCAGTCCCCCAACTCCATCTTCCCCAACATCTCAACCCCTCCTTCCCAGACTCAGCCAATCACAACATTCAAATTGCTGAGCACCCTGCTACATGAGCTCATCAGAGCCCCAACTTTGCGCTTTCCTGGTGACTAGATACCCAATCTACTGGACACATTGGAGAAGACCTCAAAATCCTGTGGGAAGGCTTATCGGGGGGATTACTTTGTTATGTAAATGTCTAATCACTATGTTGTACACCTAAACTAATATGAATGTCAGCTGTAATTGAAAAATAAAATAAATTTAAAAATTAGGAAAATCCAGTGGGAGACCCAATTGACTCAACTCTTCACTGAGTCTACCCATCACCCATGATCCTGCTCTGGTCCCTACAGGGCCCTTGCTACCACTGCAATCCTCATCTCTCTCCTCATGCCCCTGACCTGACCATTGTGAATCTAAGAGTCTAAGGCCAAGGTTGGACAGAAAAGGATCAGCAAGGGGTAAAAAGGCAAGGAGAAGACCTGAAAGAAAGACATGGGATTGAGGTATGTTTTCAAGATAAGAAAAAGCATGTTTGTAAGTTGAGTCACTAGTAATTAGGCAATTAACATTTATATAACACTATATGCCCAGGTGGTATCTAAGAGTTATATGTGTATATTTCTACATCCAATCCTCATTAACAACCCTATGAGGTAAGCACTATATCATTTATGGAAGAAAACACTAAGGCACACAACAATAATTTGCCCAAGGTCACAAAGCAGTAACTTGCCAACAAGCTAGAAGCAGAGCCAGGATTCAAATCCAGGCAGTCTGGTGCCTGAAACTATTACCTTAATCACTAATAATATAACGCAGACAGAGAAAAATGTCTGACCTGGTAGACTCCCTCCAGCCCAAAGCACATGGCAGCCAGCCAGCCACCCAGAGGTCTAGATATAGTGAGGTTACTGCTTGAAGTTTCTTTTTGAAAAAAATTATATATATATTTATTTATTTATTTTTATTGGAGAACAGTGTGTTTTTCCAGGACTCATCAGCTCCAAGTCAAGTAGTTGTCTTCAATCTAGTTATGGATGGCACGCACGGCTCCTTGGCACATGTGGGAATTGAACCGGCAACCTTGGTGTTATGAGCCCGCGCTCTAACCACCTGAGCTAACCAACCGCCCCTTGAAGTTTCTTAGTGACTCTAGATCCTCCCAGCACTAGCCTGAGCCTACCTTTCCTGTCTCCAGCCTGTGAGCTCCTGGGGGACCGGAGCAGAGACTCCCACTCCCTTAATCCCACCTCCACACAAGTAAGCCGAGAAGAGCGAGGCTCATCAGACAAATAGGCAGAACCTTTATTTCCTAACCCACTCCCTGGATCTCTCTCTGTCAGAAGGCAGGTCAGAGGCACTGTAGATGGAAGGCCGAGTAAGCCCTTCTTAAGCAATCCGGAACCCGGCAGAGACCCCACATAGCAGCCCCTTCCACATGCCAGAGGGAAGGGAAAGCAGAACAGGGAGACCCACTTTTGTGGATTCAAGTCTTGTTGAAGATGTTGAGCAGTTATAGAGGCTTCTCAGAAATTCGGGCCTAGAGAACAGCTTGCTCAGCAGGTCTCAGGACCGGGTGTCTCGAGCCCTTCTTCGGGGTCGAGGGCCACAGCTGGAGCTAGGTGTGGGGCCCAAGCCAGGGGGTGCCCCTGGGGGCTGGTAGCCACACTCATTTGGGTCCAGGGGGTCCCGGCTGAGCAGTACCCACACCGCAGGCACATGTCGGCGCACTGTGAGAGGATCCAGGCCTTTGTCAGGTGAGGTTGGTACCCAGCTGTCCTCAGTCTGCAGGAAGCGCAGCTTGGTAAGCTGGTGTAGGCCTGGTACCCGCCGCTTGACAATCTCAGCACAGCTAACAGCCTTCCCTGCAGCCCGGCCAGAACCTGAGAACACCACATGCCTTGCGCTGCCGCCCTCCAACCGTCCCAGCGCCAGCCCCAACAAGTTGCGGATTTTGCTGCCATCTCGGACCCGCATCTCCAGGGTATCAGGAGGTAGCTGGGGCATCGGGGAAGGTGCTGGGAGTTCCACAGAGCCAGCTTTCCGGTAGTGCTCCATTCTGCTTGCTGTTGTGTCTCGCTGCCCCCTGCAGGGAAGTGTTAGATGAATGCTAGGCCATGTGCCCTAGGCCATCCCCCGCCCCGGCTGCCCAGGACATGGCCTGGCTCCTCATCCCAGACTTCCCAGGAACAAGACAATATCCCCATACTCTCAGCTTCTCAGGATGGGGGCCACGCCTGCTCCATCCTAGGAAGGGAATGTACCCCATAGACTCCCATTCCCCTGGACAGGGCCATAACCCTCCCTCCACCCTGGAGTCCCCCAGACAGAACTGAATTCCCCAAACACGAGGCTATTTGGGATTGGGCCAAACCCCCTCAGAGTGCCCTAGGATGGGGACCAAGCCTCCCTCACCTTGGGCTCTTTGGGACCTCACCCCAGACTCCCTGAAAACAAGGCTGAGAACCCCTCACCTCGTGCTTCCCGAGGGCAGGGACAAGCCCCTACACCCCACTGAGGTGGAGATGAGCGCCTCCAACCAAACAAATGCTCTCAAAGACAGAACTGACGCGCTCCACCGCTCCGGAATACCTAGGCCAGGGTCGAGCACCCCTCACCCAGAGATTCCCAGGGTCAGCCCCCCGACCCAGGTCACTGAGAAACTCGGGAGAGGCTAGACGCGGACAGTTGCTTTATGCGTTGGGCCCGCGGACCTCAGCGGACTCCACCGCTACAGGCCGCCCCCAGGGTCCGGTCGGCCGCAGCGGCCCAGGAGCCGACCTCTTCTGTCCCCTCGCCCACCAGGCGCCCATCCACCTGACAAGGTTCCTGCTCTCACCGCGGCGGCTCGACCCACCTCAAGTTCCACCCAAAGCCAAGATGGCGCGCGCGCCGGGAGCGCGCCGAGGCCGCGGTGCCGCGCACGCCGGGTTGGGGCGGGGCCCGCCGGGCCTCCGAGGGGAAACTGTGAAACTAGGAAGTCTAGGGGTGAGCTCTGCCGCGACTGGGACCCGGGACACGCGCGCAGCCTCCGATGTACCGCCCTGGGGAAGGGACACTCCTATTGGGGCGGATAAAGCCCTGCGGAGTAGAGGAGCAGCCATCAGAGGAGTCCCGCGTCCGAAGACTGGGGAGGACGTGATCCTTAGAAGATGGCTGGGCTGGCGTTACTAGTTGAGCACACCGAAGCGGCGGGTTTCACTTTGCACAGGAGCAAGAGGTTCTGTTTGGAGTGGCTGCTGCTGCGCGGGCGAGAGCCTTGGTCACCGAGTTCTGAGCTTCGACTTCATTCTGTGTGCACAGCTCACTGGCTGCAGCGCAGGAGAGGGTGGGATAGAGAAATCGGGCCGCAACCGCTGGTGACTCCAGGCCGCTGTGAATCCCACTAAATACAGAGCTGCCTCTGCCCTGCTACAAGAGGAGGTTAGCACAGGGCCCTGGCCCCGGAAGCGTGTCCACGGAGACGCGTCGGACATGCTGAATTTGAGATGCCAGCGAAACCGCGCAGTTGGAGTAACGAGTAGGCCTTTGGAAAGGGGCCAGGAGTCACAGCACTCCCTGTCACGAGGGGGCAGCAAACACTTGGTGGAGTGAGGTGCCAATCTCAGTTTCTGCTTTTTATCATGGTCCCGCCCTCTCCTAACCTACCGGCTTTTCCCCCGCCCTCCTCTCCCCGCCTCCGCCCAAACCCCTGCATCAGAGCTTCTGCAAGGATCCCCGTCTAGGCTAATAGCACCAAGACGACTACCAAGAGAGACTTAAAGGCTCCTCTCTGCATTTGCACACGCTGCTCCTTCAGCTCTCAAAGACCCTGCACATCACCCTCCAGGGCGGCCTCCTCCATCCCTTTTTCTGTGTGTCAGAGGACCCTGTGCCCACCTGGTGGGACTGACCTTCCTGACTGTCTTGCAGCTAGCCTGTGCAGGGCAGGGATCAGGTAAACCCTACCCGTGTCCTCCCCACGTGGCATGGAATCCGACATTTATAGGGGTACTTGGTAAATGTGGGATAAATGGATACATAAACGAATGTTCCACTCATCAGTCAAATGAGAGCATTGTTTCTGAGAGACCTACACCTCCCAGAAAGCCAGACCAGGATTAAGTATAGCTCCTGGTTCAACCATAGGAAGGTTGACAACTCTGCCCTCCACAACCCCCATCCCCACCACTATCCCCATCCTAGACCAAGAAGCTGGCACACTCCTCCAGTGATCGCTACAGTTTATTGTTACTGGAATAAGATACTGATGAGGGGAGAGGGCGCAATGAGGAAATTTCAGGTAGCCAGACCTCTGACCTCAGGGCCCCATCTGAGTGCAGACAGACAGGCTGTGAATCCAATAAATACAGAGCTGTCTCTACCCTGTTACAAGGGCAGGTTGGCACAGGGGCCTGGAGCATGGCTGCTCTGGGATACGGAGTAGCCATCACTCCTCTGCTGGCTTCACTTGCTTGGCGGCTTCTAGCTGGCAAAGTAGCTCATCCCACTGCACAAACTGCTTGGAGAGAAGCATTGTCTAGTCGCAGGTCAAGGTGAGAACAGGAGTGTGAGGTAGTACAGAGATTTTGCATCTGCCAAAAGGGTGGGTGAGCACGGGAATAGACAGGTTGAGTGGGACAGGATGAGAGAGACAGAGCTAGAGATGGAACAAAAGGACAGGGCTGTGGGCAGCACTCCTCAGGGGTCTGGCTAAGCAGAAAGGATACAGTCTTGTTGTATTCCTCCAGGAGCGCCTTGGACTCCTCAGTGATCTCCACACACTGGTCCTGTGGGGCCAAGGTGTGGCAGAGAAAGGAGTAGATAAAGACCCCACTTCCCACTAACCTTTCTGCTTCATCAGGGACCCCACTCCCCAGAGATCCTAGAAAAGGTGGTGTTTAACCCCAGAGCCAAAAGGAGCAAATTTCTAAAGGGGCACTTTGAGGCTCTAAAATGAGTACCCTAATAGAAGTCATAAGGCTGATGGAAGGGGGAGTGGACCACACATTTAAGGAAACATTTCTGCTAGTATATGTCTCCTTCTCCCTTGTCCCCTATTTCTGACCCCTTTTTGAACTTTACACTGGAGCCTGGGAATAGTGAAAAAACAGCTCCTCCACCCATAGTGAAGGACACCCCATCCCCAGGAATTCTTGGGTACCTCCCAATATCAACCTTCAGGTGTCTCAGAATAGCCCTACTGTGGGAGGCAGGAGACCTGGCAAGTCCCTTCCCCTCTCTCTAGCAGATGGAAAATAGAGGATAAAGCCCTAAGTTTCCTGGGAGCTGACACCAGGGGAGCCTGAGGCTGTTTTCCCAGGCAGCAGGGGTGCGGACTAGGAACCTCACCACCTCTACTTTCCCTTCAAGTCCTCTCCCCTCCCATACCTGCTGCTGGATGTGGATCTGGGCCAAGCGCTGCAAGCGGGCTGCATGCTCAGGAACGGCTGTAAAACACAACGCACACTGCCCGATGATGCTTGTGCCTTCCCCCGGGACTGCTCAATAGTCTATTAGGTCTTCGGCAGGATTAGAGTATTGAGTGGAGAAGCTAAACAAACGCCAGGCTTCATCGACCGCTACAGCTGGAAGTGATGGTGGGGCTCCCTGCCCACCCCAGTCTTACTCTATGACCCAAAAAGGAGGGGAAGACACAGGCCTCTAGGAGAAGACAAAACCTTGGGGTCCCCAGAGTTGCCTCATACACCCACCCCAGTGCTGTAAGCAGAGCCAGGTAAAGAGAGCTTTGCCTACCATGGGATCTATCCCTTTGCTGTCAGCCTATGGGACAAAGTCTGCCTACGAAACAGAGAGCCTGCAGGTGGGCTGAGGATGAATGCCAGGTCTCTAAGCTAGCCACCTGGAATCCAACACCCAAACCCACCATGCTGGGCCCACAGCTTAAGGCTGTCAGATGCTCAGCAGGTAGCCGATCAGCAGTAGGGAGGGGGAGCTGGGAAAAATACCTCCAGAGACAGACAAGATGGATATCTGGATTCAATTAAAGTCACTGTCTGCTTGTCAAAACCCAGGCCCAGCGACTGCTTTCAGCAGTGCGGCAGGAAGAATTCATACACATTCACATACCTGGCAAGGACTCTTACAAGTAAAATCTGGGATCTGCAGCACCCTGAAGGACAGATACTGAGGGATGGGGTAAAAGGCAGAAGGAATTCCCAGATTTGGGGGCTGCAGGGCTTATACTAGTGTACATAGGCCCAAATTGCCTGGTTTTCTGAAACTGAGCTCTCTGCCCTGGCAATTTTAATCCCAGTGCAGGAGGCAGATACCCCAAGGGTAAAGGTAAAGACAAGGAGCAGACTTGGCCTGAACCCAGGGAACCTGGGGTACAGGGAAGTCCTGACCATCCACCCACCTCCCCAAGCAAAGTGGTGGAGAAGTACCTTTGATGTGAGCGCTGTCCAGCATTGGCACCAAAGCCTCCACTTGCTCTAGGAGTGCAACCTGGGAGAGGATAAACTGCTCCTCTGAGGCATAAACAGACAAAACAGTCACAGTGAGGTGAGCCTGAGCACTGCTACTCCGATGCCAGGAACTAAGGACCTGGCAGGGAACAATGGCTAGGTCCTGGAGCTCGGGGCAGCTATTCTTTCCACTGCCCCCTTCTGCAGGTGCACATGCCCTCATTCTGCTCCCACCTCTCCTGGATGCCTCTGGTCTGACCCATCTTAACCCCAAGAAGCCTCTAAGTTTCTCCAATTCCCACCTTTCTCCAAATCCCACCTTTCTCCAAGTTTTAATTTTCAGGCCTCTTCTTCTAGTCTCCTATCAACAAATTCTCTGAGCCCCTCCTAGGCCACAGGAGACAAAGTACTTCAGACTTGGGTCCCCACACCCAAGGGCTCCTGGGAAGGTCTGAAAGAGGAGACGTGGCAGACTGCCAGACAGATTCTGCTCAGTGGTTCTGAGAGGCACAGACAATTACAAGCTCCTGGAGATCTGGGACAGTAACAAAACAGTCCAGTGAGGAAAGTATGGCCCTGCACAGTGGATTTCAATGGTTGCAAAGAGTGGGAAGGACATTCAAGAAGCGAGGATTGTTATGTCAAACATTGGAGGCAAGAATGCTTGTCAATTAATAGAGCAAAAAACATTCAATTTGCTGAACTGGAGCAAGCAAAGCACAGGATGGGAGAGCTGGATGGGAGGGCAGATCCAGCAGACTATAGAAGGTTTGGAATGGCAGGCTAAGGATTTAGGACTTTATCCTAGCAAGGAGAGAAAGATACTGAGGTTCCAAAGTAGACAAAGTGGCATGTTGGAAATGTGTTTTGGGAAGATGATACTGGACCACATGCAAGAAGGGAAAGACTAGGGTCAAGAAGAGGACTTAGGAGACTGAAACTGTTCATGTACAAGGGGACAAACACAGAGGCAGTAGTCACAGGGACTGATGAAAAGGCTGGACTCAAGAGTCAGTGCAGGAGATCTCCCGAACTTGATGCCTGAGCCACAGCAATGGCTCAGGGATGTTCTGGTTCACCATTGTATACCTCCCACCTAGGATAGTCTGGATCACAGATGATCATTAAACATCTTTTGAATGAATGAACAAACACAGGTGCTTGGCAAACCCTACCTCATGGAGTAATTGACTAAATGATTAGCGGACATTGTTAAGACAATAGTTCCTTCCTAAAATTCTGAAATCTCAGAACTTTGTCACATGAAAGATGTTGAAACTCATGCCAATATTCTCCTCTCCCAAATGTAATACTCTCTGCCCTCCACCCTTTCCTAGAAGCTCCTCTGTCTAGTGAGCAGAGGTGAGGAAGGTTCTAAAGGAAAAATCTAGAGGCAGACCATTGAAAGAACCCTGGAGTAGCTCCCACTGTGGCTAGCACCATGGGTGGCTCAGCAATATACCACACCCAATGCCTTCTAGAGAACCACAGGCCAACCTCAGGCTTCAGCCCAGGCCAGGCCAGAATTCCAAAGAGCAGTTTCCAGGGCTGGATTCATGAGACGACAGGCAGGAAGGCCATCTCTGTGCCCAACTTCCGTCACAATCCACATCCCCAGATGCATGTGTACTCATTGTCAGCACTACCTGCTAAGATGAACTGCAGCTTAGAGGCATCAGGTATTGCAATGCGGTCAATGTACTCAGGATCCAGGTATTTGATCAAGTCTTCAACTAGAAAAGGTGGAAAATGAAATAGGGTTGTGGAATGGGAATCTGTTTGACAAAGGATATTGGGGGAATGGTCTATCTTGGGGAGAGCCTTGAGTGAGAAGCTGACACCCACAGTGTCCATCAGCAGGCCTCCACCAGGCCCCCACTTTCTTGTCTCTTCCCTCTGATCACCTGTTGCCTGACCTCAAACTTTAGAGCTAGGAACACAATTGCCTCCACCACCCTGGAGCCCTCAGTATTCCCACTGACCTATGTTCACGAAGGGCGGAAGGCTCCCAGCCTCTTAATGCCATCAAGAGCATTATCTGATCTCTAGTTACTGAGCACATTGCTAGCTCTGACACAATCAAAAAGGCATGGCTGAGCCAAGGCTGGGGCTCTCAGTGCCTAATTAATTTCCTGCCTCTGAACCTTGCCTGTGGAAATCCCATACCCTTTCTCCCTCCTTCACCAAGGGGGCCTTTCAGGCAGAACTCTTATCCCATAACTTAAGACACTGTCATGGGCTTGGACTTTAACCACAAAATAGAAAGCACACCCCAATTCGCCATTTCAGCAGGGAAATGTCTTCACACTCTATCCCCAAAGGGCAACTCAAGACCTACTGGGCCGAACGACCTGGGCCAGGTCCCAGGAAGCATAGGCATGGGAAGGAGGGCAGGCAGTCAGACACCCTATGGAAACACTCACTCTTTTTGTACAGAATCTTCACCCTTTCCCTCTTGCTGGCAATGTTCCCCAAAGCTACCTGCACCTTGACCAGGCCATCAGCCACCTGTAAGGGGAGAGGAAGTTAATTCCAAGATTGACCACCTTTTTCAAGTCATGGAAGAGGTAAAGAAGCCTCATTCCCTCAGACTCCCAAACCTCCATCCCAGAAATCTAGGTTGGTCCCCTTCTCTTGTATTAAAGGAGATGTCACTCCACCTTCTGGGAATCCTCAATGTGAAAGGGGAGATAAACATGTACTCGTTGAGGAGTCTCAACTCTGAATGGGGACACAATGAACTATTTTAGAGTTTATGGGGTACTAGTATATACTATATATTCCCTGGTTCCTACCTCTCTGACTGAGCCTACCTGCGCTTTAAGGGTAGAAGATGGGGAATTCTGATATTAAAGGGCCGAATAGATGGAAAGGCTATGAAAGTGAATGATCTCACCCAGGTTTTAGGTTAGAGGGTGAGGAATGCCAATATTCAAGGGTCAAATACATGGGGAGGCAAACAAGACTGAGCAGCAGCAGCCAGAGAGGTAGGAGGAAAACCAGGAGGATTAGTGTCATAGGTCTCAAAGGGACAGAATGTTTTGAAAAGTCAATTCTCAAATGGGGAATTCTCCACAAGAAGTGTGCAAAACAGACATCATTACCTCTGATGCACTTAATTCCAGGGTATTCCTGACACTCCATCTTCAGTAAAAGGTCTTCCCATAGTAAAAAGGGGATGGGAGGGCAACTGAACTTCACAGTTGTCAAATTCAGGCACTGGTGTGAGGGAGTGCTGGTCAATATCGGAACACCCAGTATCCAATCCCTTCCCCTCCTAACCTTGGTCCTCTCAGACCTCACCTCTCAGTCCCCTCACCCAGCCTTCCTTACGCACCTTTGCTCTGTCTCTTCTGAAGTCCTATGGACCTCTCTCTGACAATTCATTTAGCAATTAATTATACAGGGCTCCATGACAGCCCTTCCATTATGGACTTCAGCTCTTATTGAAACTCTCATTAGTCAGCTTCTCGCAGTCTCCCCAACTTGTCCGCGAGGGCAAGGGCGGGGTCTTAGTCATATTGAGCCCATTTCAAGCGGGCCTAATAATAACCCGTAGTAACCCTGCGTGGTCCAACCGAGAGTCCAATATGCTCCGGGAGGTCTCGGACCTTTGTTATTTCAAAGGCCGGGCCGCGGGCGACTCGACTGGAGCGACAGCATCCACCCCGAGGACCGGGCCAGTAGATCGCGCTTGCTCTGCCCCAAAAAGGGACCACTCAACCCCAGATCGCTCACCTTCCGAGAGCCGCGCGACCCGCCGGGTCCGTAAACCCAGCGCTCCAGCTCCTCCACACGGGCCTGCAGCCGCTGCACATCGGTTACAGCCGCCATAGCTATCACCGCCCCGCCTCAGCTGCGGAGCAGTCAGAGGGCGGGACGTCCGTCCAAATAGAGAAGCCGGGCGGATCAGAGCGCGCCGGGCGCCCCTCCATACAGGAAACGACGTCACGACACCGGCCTGCAGTACCGGAAGTAACTGGCCCGGCAGGCGAAAGGCGTCAAAAGCTGTCTGGTTACCTAGGCAACGACCACCTGTTAAGCCCTACCCTAGCTTCCAGCTTCTGCTTGTCAAAACAACCTTTGCCTTTCTTCTTCTAATTTCAGGGTACCAAAGAGGTTTTACCACCCGATTCCCCGAAGCTGCGCATATAAATACACCCATTATTCCAGGATTGGTCCATTCCCATAGATCAGTAGGAGGTCTCCTAACAAACCATAATCTTTTGGAGTCTTCTAAGGTTCAAGCGATTAAGTGCCTTGCCAAGGGCCACTTGGCATTGTAGTGACAGAACTGTGATTTGAACCCAGGAAGTCTGATTCATGAGACCGAGCTCTATCTACTCTTACGGACCTTTGCTAGTGTGTCTTCCTTTCTGATAACTCTTGGCCCAATGCAGCCTGTGTATACCATACAATTCCTCCCCAAGCCCCAGACCCAAACAAGAAGAAGAAGAGGCACTAGGGAGGGAGGGACTGCAGCTTTATTTTCCAGGTGTGACCTGAGGGACATTTTCTTCACAACACCCCAACCCAACCCTTCACCTGGTTCCTGAAAAGAAGAAGCAGGTCTGACTCAAAGAGGTAGAGTCCTAGAAATGGCATTGACAGGGGCACATGAGGAGATGATGGGGGTTACTGAGGGCAGAACTCTTTGGTAGATGCTGCTGGAGATGTCCTGGAAGGAGGTTCCCTCCCATTACAATGAGGTAGATGTAACATCAAAACAAAACTCTTTGGCTTCAAGTCCACATGGCATAGCAGGGAGTGGTCACCTCCCAGGGCTGGGTCCTAGAGTAGGCACCCTGTAAGAATCAAGGTGTGGGGGGGTCTCCCCCCACCCAGCGAAGGGGCTGGGACTCTTAATTCCAAGAGTAGGAGCTCTCAGGGTGAGGCCCTGGAAGGGGGCCCTGTAGGAGGTGGAGGTGCAGGGTTGGTTGGGCCCTGGGAAGCTGGCACAGGCTGGCGGCGGGCAAAGAGGATGCCTGGTAAAAGGGTGAGGAGTTGGTAGAGGACAAGCACAAGCAGAGGGGAGTAGGGCATGGAAACAGAAGAAAATAAAAGTCAGTGTCCTAATTGCTAGAACACCACACACATACCCCTGTCACAAACCAAAGAGGACAAGCCGTTTGGGTCAGTTAGAGGCTCCTATGCCAATACAGATACCCTCAAACAGGTAAACAATAAATATTTACAGTGATACCTAGCTCATGACAAGGCAGACATCCCATGGTATCCATGCCAGAGAGGTCATGCCTTGGACCCCATGCCTTTTAACCCCCTTTAACCCATGCCAGGGTAGCAATCCCCTGAACCCCATGTCACCCATGCAAGTTTGGATATTCCTGAACCTCATGCTAGTAGAAAAAGTCTAAAATCCCCATGCCAATGTAAATACCCCAGACCTCATGCCAGTATAGACAGCCTGCAGTACCCATACCAGTGTAAACTACCCCGTTGATCTCTAGAGCCATGTTGATACTGCTGATACCACTGCCTGCCAGATTGAGAGGCCCATCCAGCGGCTCTTCTGTCCAGGAGGGGGCAGAGGAGTCACATTTTTGGGAATCAGACTTCACACTTAGAAGTTCCCCCCTCCATCCTTATAAACAGTCCCCATTCCACTTCAACCCACACCTCTAATGACACAGTTGTCTATTATGGGATCTATCTGTCCCACCTCCAATGCCTATCAGGTGATGGGTCTGTTTTCCCACACTACACAGGCCCAAAGCGCTATCAGCAAAAAGCCCCTCCTCACCCCTTAGGGGAACCTTGTCACGAGGCAGGAAACCAGGGGGTGCATCAGGTCGAGATGGGTCCATGGGCCCCATCAGCACAGCCCTCTTCTCTGGAGGCTCCTCTGGTGCCAACTTCTCCCGTGCAGGTCCCAAGGCCAGACCCACAGGCAGTGCCAGTCGAGGGGTTGGAATTCCAGTCTCCTCTGGAAGAACAGGTCATTCAGCTCCCCTGGCCCAACCAACTCAGTCTCTGCATTTGGTTCTCCCCCGCAGGCCTGGGACTAAGAAGGTCACCCAAGCTCAAGCACCAAGTTCAATCTCTACTCCCATGCAGAGTCTCAGCCTAGAAGCTCTGAAGCTGGAGAGCCCCAAAGTACCAATATATATGTCTAGGTTGGTCCAAGATACTTTGGGGGATTTCCTAGCTCTCCATTGTTAAATAATTCAGGTCACAGGAGGCACGAACCACATGCAAATAGGAACCCTAGGTGGACAGGTGTGGAATGGACCTGCTCCGGATAAAGGATCTTTTCCTGAAATGATTCAGCTCCATACTGTAGTAACCCCTACTCCAGAGCTCCCAAGGCTTCACTGACCCCAAACCTCAGGACCCCTAAACTTTACAGAGTGCACCAAATCTCAGTGCCCCATCAGTCCTTACTGGCCCCATACCTCAATGCCTCCCACATTTCAGAGTCCCCACATTTTAATGTTCCTTATAACTCAGCAACCCCCTAAGTCTTAGAGACCCCCCCCTCAGACCTTCCCCCCTCACAACACCTTTCTTAATGGGGTTCGGGCTCAGCTGTGCGCAGGCGTGAGCTGGCAAGCCGGAGGCGGAGCCCTGGGCGGGACGAGGGCCGGGCATGGGCGCGGGCGGGGCGGGGCCATGACCCGCGGCTGGACCTGGAGTGCCCCGAGGGGGCGGCCCCGCCAAGCCGAAAAGCGGGGAGGCGGTGTAAGTTTGACGACGGCCTTCGCGCCGGTTGCTGTCGATGGCAGCCTGGAGCTCCCCAGGGGAGCTGAGCGCCCGCGTCTCGCACTCGTATGGGTACAGGTACTTCATGTACCTAGGGGCGAATGGTGTGCTGGGCCCGCAGGTCAAACCCCACACCCGGACACCCGCCCGTGGGCTCGCCACGACGCGAGGCCCCGCCTCCCGCGCCTTGTCCCCCGCGTCCCCCACCCCACCCCTGCGCTCCTGGCCTCACTGGGTGCGTAGAGTGAAGGCGGCCGATGTGATGGTGGTGGGCAGGCTGAGGCCGCGCGTGACCTCCCGCCACACCTTGCGGTTGATGACTTCCACCAGACCGCCTTTGGCCGTCACCAGGCGAAACAGCGCGTACAGGTCCAGTACCTGCTTCGCCATGATGGGCACACGGTTCACTGGAGTCCCTGGTGGGGGTTGGGCAGAGAGTCCGGACATTAAGACTAAGACCCTGTCTGCGGGCATCCTTGGGGACTGAAGGAGTCGGCTGCCTGGCCCAGGAGCTGCCTGGATGAGACCCGGGTACAGGGTGGGACCTCGAAAAAGGAGGGGAGAAGGGAGAGGTGGGGAGGTGGTATTCCTGGCAGAGCCCACAGAGCCCCCCAGGCCTCCACTGTAGCAGGTCGGCAAACTTGTTCTGTAAAGGGCCAGATGGTAAATGTTTTATGCTTTGTAAGCCAAATGGTCTCTCCAGAGCTACTCCATTCTGCCCTTGCAGCCTGAAAGGAGCTATAGAGGATATTTAAAAGGCGCCGCTGAGTTCCAATAAAACTTTATTTACAGATTCTGAAATTCAAATTTCACACGTCTGGAAATGTTATTCATCTTTTAGGTTTTTTTACACTATTTAAAAATACAGTAGCCATTCTTATCTCGCAGGTGGCTAAATCTGGTCTTAGTTTGCCGGCCCCTGTGGTAGACCGTAGGAAGGCCTTCTGGACAGTGCTGAAGAGCTGGACTCCCCTAAGCAGAGGCCAGCGGTGGCTGCCTGAGGGCCAAGGATGGTGGATGGGAGAAGAAGCCGCCGCTGCCTCGGCTCGCCAACTCCGCAGCCCGCGCCGCCCCCGCCGGCCAGTCCTGACAAAGAGGTCTGTCTGCGCTGAGCGATGGGCCCCAGTTAATTCCTTACCGATCCCGTCCCCTTCCGCTGCCGCCTTTGGACCCGAACAATTAGCTGCGGCCTGATTAATGGGGGGAAATTATCGGCCCAGCGGGACCTCCTCCCCCTGCAGAGGGAGCAGAGGAGGCAGGGACCCGAGAGAGGCAGAGCTCAGGGCCTGAGGGGAGGGAGTGCTGGGGTGTACTCAGATCAAGCTACCCCAAACCCCAGTGTGGGGGAGACCTCGAGGAAGGGGCAGGGAGGGTACACTGGGACTAAGTGTACCTGGGGAGCAAAAGGATCTGGGGCCCGACTGAGGGTCTCTGGTTAGGAATGGACCAGAAAGGGGTGCTGGGCCTGGCTGGGGTGGGGGCCCGAGGGACTTTGGCCAGCAGCTGCACTAAGGGGGGGGGGGACAGTGCAGCCAGTTAATTAGCAGCTTATCAGGCCAAGCTCAGAGTGAGTTAATTAGCTTTGTAGAGAGAGATAATGAGTCAGTCTTCCGACCCATGAATCTGGGGAGAAGCCTAAGTGATGGACTGCCGGCCCACCCTGATCCCCTCCTGGACCCTTCTTGCATTCTCTTTTAGCTCTGAGATTCCTGGAAAGGAATTCCTCCTCCTCCACAGTCCCAACTCACATAGTCCCCAGGCTACCCCTTGGAAAGTCCTTCCTTCAGTCTAATCCCATCCTTTCTACTGTGGAGTACATTGGGTGTCCCCTGCCTGAAGCAATGGAAAACTGAGGAGAGACAAGGCTGGAGGAAGGGTCAGCAAAAGAGGACCAAGGCATTCCCAGCCGCCTAGTCCTGGGAACCACCCCCCACCCCAGGCCAGCTCCCAACCAGTTCTCCTTCCCACCTTCCCAATTGATCCCACACTCATTAACCTGCCAGTGGGCTGACCACTAATTAATCGCTAGGTGGAGGAGGAGGGCAGGGTCAGAGGTTAAAGATGCTATTGAGGGCCCAAAGGATAGGTGCTGCCAAGCTCAGGCCTCTGCAGAGAGGACCCAACCTGGCAACTTAGCCCTGAGGTCTCCCATCCTCAGACCTGGTTAAGTGGGGGTCCTTCCCTTTCATCACCCCACTCACCCCTCTTCTGCATGAAGCTAAACAGGTCATCCAGAAATTCCTTCCTCTTGGGGTCTGCATCGAGCTCGTACAGCTGAGGAAGGACTGAAGTCATTTTCCAACTCTGCTGACCGCCCCCCCCGCCCCTTGGGACCCCAACTCAGGTTTGTGCCCTGAATAAGGGTCCCCAGCTGAAGGGGTAAGTAGGATCTGAAATGTGGCCTCCCAGGCATTAGGCTCTCAACCCCTGGGGACAGGTAGGGGCACTTTTTTCTAATACATACACAGACCCTCTACTAGTGGTGCCCTGGGCAGTTTAAACCACCCATCTGGGGAGTAGGAAAAGAGAGGGAGCTGGGAGGCTCAGCCTGCCCTCCAGGGCATGCACAGAGCTCCAGGGAGAAAGTCAGGCTGAGACTGTAGTCCACACTGAGGAAACTGACATGTTTCTGAAGCACTCATTCACTCTCGTTCATTCCTGCAAGGGCTTCTTGCTATTCATCTCTCTATGTGCCAGGGCTGGGGATGAGGGGCAAGATGCCTCTAACCCATCCCTCAGGCAGGATGCATGCTCAGAAGCTCCTGGATTGAAACCTGGTGCCCTCAGTCCACCTTCTGGTTTGATCTCCTTCCAAGGACAGAGACCTGCCCATGACAGGAGCTGTCACAGAGGCAATAGCCCTGCACCACCCAGACCTATGGGGTCAGGACTTGAAGGGCCCATGGGATCATCCCACATATTCCCAGTCACCTGGAGTCCCAGCTCCAGTATCATCTCCCAGATACCACCCATGAGGAACAATCCCTAGAGTAACAGTCATTAACCCAGTCCCTGAGTAACACCCATAAGTAACACTCCATTCCCCAATAAGAACTCTCAGTAAAAAACACCCATGAGTAAAAAACCTCGGAGAGTCACCTTTAGAGCTATGCTCCCACAAGAACTGAGCCCTAAATCTTAGATTAATGCCCACAAGTAACATACACTCTCCAAGTAATAACCCCCAGAATTACACCCAGGAGAAACAATCGCTAGAGCTACATCTCCAGAGTAACAGAGCCCTGAGTAACATGCCTTTTTACACTAATGCTACAGAATACTAGCCACAGATGAACACTTCTGGAAAATACCCAAGACCAACACTCTCCGGGTAACACCACCAGAGTAGCCCACCTAGAGTCACAGCCCTGTGGTATACCTTCATAGTGATAGCCTGGAGTAGTGCCTTAGAATAACACCCAGATGGGTTCTGCAGGGAGGAAGAACCCCAAATAAGGCCCCATTTCCAGCAGCACAGGGGCCCATTAGTCACACTGCCCGTAGTGACCGTCACAGGCTGAGAACTGTCACCCATAGAACTCAGGCCAGGGAGAGGATTTGGATTGGGGGGGATGTAACAGGGAACATATGAGGGGGGTATCAGCTTGCCAAAGAAGTGGCAACCTCCATTCTGCTTCCAAGGACAGAAGCAGGCAACCCAGGCCACCCCCACTGTCGCTGGAATATGACCTGGTGACTTGATGTGTAAGAAGTTAGGGTAGGATGGTGCTGGCACTGGAATCCCCAGTCCCCAGATCTCCCTCCCTCAAAAGAAATCTTGAAGGCTCCTATACCCCTGCTGCTTTTCCTTCCAGCCTCTCCAAGACACTCTAATCTGTCAGCCTCTATGTTTCTGGGTGTCTTCTACAGCTCTTAGTGGGTGCCTACTTCTTTCTGTGTCTCCAGATGCCTGTCTCTCCCTTCCTGTCATTATCTATCCTTCAGTCTTTCCACTGTCACTGTCCAGGTCTGTGTCTCTATCTTCCCATCCTGCAGAGGGCAGTGGGGATGGATGGGCTACTAATTACCTGGCTCTGCTTTTGCCCAAAGAGGAAGAAGAGGAGAGGGCCTGACATTGAGGGTTCCTACCTGCTTGAACTGTTCCTCGTAAGTCCACTCATGGGGATGAGGTCCAGGGGGCTGGCTGGAAGGAGAGCTGGGGCTCCGGGTCCCTGGACAGCTCTCCTTGGCTACCCCCTCCTCTGCCCCAGCTTCCTCCTCCTCCTCATCTTCTTCAGCATCCTCTTCTTCCTCAGCCACAACCTCCCCCAAAGCCCCCTCAGGGGCCTGCAGAATCCGGGGGCCAGGCAAGAGAGGCCTTGGTGGTGGTGGGCGGGGAGGGACCAATGGCCCCACCCCTTGGGCCAGTCGGGCTGCCTGCTGCCTCTGCAGGGCCTCCATTACAGCTTCCAGGCGCAGTCCCCCCGCTGGTGGGAGTGCTGGCACCAGGCGGGGCCCCGAGGAAAGGGCCGCCTGTCGGGGAGGGAATTATGGGTGCTGGGCCCTGCTACCCCCACAACCCTCAACACAAGGGGAGGTGGTCATGGATTCAGGGAATTGCAGGGTGGCCATAAGGAAAAAGGTAGAAAGATCGGTTTCCCAGAGATTGACAGGAAGGTAGAAAAAGCAAGAGAGACAGAGCCAAAGAGACAGAAATGGGTATTGACTGAGGACAGGTAGAGACTGAGCAGATCAAAAAAGATGACAAGGACCAAGAAACAGAGAGAGATGGAGGGGAGAGAGAGAGAGAGAGAGAGTCAATGACAGGGTGACGGAGATATGAACACAGAAATGGAGATGGGACAGAGGGACAAGGAGAGACAGAGATGGGGAGAAACAGACTGAGAGGGACCAAGATGGAGAGAAATAGAGATATCAGGCAGAGACAAGAATGGAGAGACAGAGATGGTGAGAGATGAGATTGATAGAGATACTGGATAGAGAGACAGGGAAGGTAAGACAGAGCGGAGCAAGAGATAAATATCAAAGACCTGAGTGACAGGCAGTCCAAAGAGAGAGACGGAGACAGAGATAATTAGTGAGACGGGTTGAGAGAGACCAGGAAAGACCAACGCAGCAGGAGACAGAAGAGAGAGATTAGAAAGAGATGGGGTGAAACAGTAAATAGAGGGGACAGAGAAACAGAGGGAAAAACAGACGCAGAGACGCAGAGGACTAGAACGGAGGAGGCGCGAGAATAGAAGGTAGCAGGGGCAGAGCCTGGGACAGGGACGGGACTGGGAGGGCAGGGGACGGCGGGGTCTCGACGCCTGCTCTCTGGCTCCCGGCACCCCGCGACCGCACTCACCAGCCTGGCGCGACCCGCTGCCCCTGGCGTCTCCACGGCTTTCCCTCTGCTCCGCCCGCCTCTTGGGTGGCCCCTGCCTCGGCTCGGTTCCACGCTCGGTTCCCCAGCTGTGCGCTCCTGCCGCGGTGCGCTCCTCTGGTCGCGGTGCGCTCACACTGCTCTGCTGGCGGCAGCCACGGGGGCGGGACACGAACAGGGAAGGGCGGGCGGGGACAGAGCAGGGAGAGGCCCCGGTGGGCTCTGCCACTCCCAGCCCCCCAACAGGTGTCCCCACCCTCATACGGCTAGATTCGGGGAGGGGGCGCTGGAGAGCTGCAGGGAGTCGTGAAAGGAGAGTGAGGAGTCCACCGCCACTGGACTTGGGACCAGGGCTCCAGCCTAGCCTCACAAGTTGCACCCCACACACCCTCACTCAGTGCCTGGCATTCACACACAAACAGCTGTGTTCACACACCTGCACACCTTGTCACAAGTTCAGGCATACAGCTGCCCTGTCTCACATACTTGGTTACACAGACACTACAGCACCAAGGGCCTGTGATCACGAGGAGAATCACTCTTCAGTATGCTGGGGTGAGTGTGGAGGGCCTGGATAGAATTGGAACTTCTCCCCATGTCCTGCCCAGGTGCTGTCCCCAACTGCATGCACGCTGCAGTTTGCACAATACATGCACATGGTGGTGGACTCACACACCTCTGCACACACACTCAGAGGTCTCTGAGCTGATTCCACATCCTCAGCAGGGTACACAAGCCACATGGAGATACACAACCACACAATTTTTAGCTCTTTTGACGTTCTATTATGGATATTGTCAAATGTCTACACAAGAAGAGTGAATTAACAGTATTTCAGCAGTGATCAGCCTTTTGTCCATCTTCACATACACCCTCCACCCACGTGTGCATGACACCCCAGGTTATATCTCTAGACCCCTTCAGCCAACTGATTCAGGCCCACCCAACCCCCAGTTATCCCCCAGATGCTGAGATGCTGTTCCTTATTTGGGGGTCCTGATGGGAGGTCACAATTTCTCCTTTGAGCAGCCTGGAGCCAACTCTTCTCAGGCACCCTCATACATCCCCCAATTTCTTCCTGTACCCAAGGGAATCAACTCACCAAAAGCAGGAGGGCTACCTGGAGGTGATGCCAAGTGTGTGAGAGAACATGTACCTGCAGTGGTGACACCTGGCATAGGTGTGAAATTGCTGTCAAACCCAAACTCAGGACCATCCCCTGACCTCATACCCAGTGAGGCAAGATTCCTCCAGCAGGCAGAAATTCAGGTGTGACTTTTGCTTCCTCTCTCCTCACCCACCCTCTCCTAATAAGTCCCCTCCTCTCAGACCCAGCTTGCTCTGGCCTGGGCCACCAGCTCTTCTCACCAGGATCTTGTGATAGGTGACACCTGCCCTGCTCTCCCTATCTCTAGCCTCCACCTTTGTCCCAAGCCCGGCTCCCACTGTGGCACTAAGTCCTTGTTCTCTCTGGCCCATCCCTGGCCATGGTTAGGTTCAGTCCTGCTCACCCCTTTGGCTCACTCTAGTGCCCTCCCACTCAGATTTCAGGCCTGAAGGTGTCAGACACGCTCCGACCAGGAAGCCTCGGTAATCCAACTACCTTCAGTACTGAAGCCCTCTCCCACATGGCTTTGTGTGATGAGTTCTCCTGGAGCAACGTCAAGCCCCTTCCTCTGCTCACCTCTCTCTGAGGCCAAGCCCACAGAGGGGAGAATCAGTGAATGGGCGGAGGCAGACAACCGGCCCTGGGGACCTCCTGGGGGACTAGAGGGCAGAGGATAGAGATTTGCAACCTCCTGTGCTCAGCTTGCTCTTTCCCCACAGCATCCCCTGGCTGCTCATGGAAGAGCTACCTGGAGGGAGACAGATGGTAAGATTCCTCTTGGAAAGTAGGAACTGGCTTCAGGAAATTCCAGTTCTGAGGGTTTGGAGATTGCTTTTCTGGGGCCTGAGGGGGAGGAGAGGGGCAAGGAAGTGGGCAGCTACTCCCAAAAGAAAAAGAATCAATCTAGCATAATAAACCCTCCTTTGGGGTCTGAACCAGAAGAGCTACAACTGGAATGGGCTAAGAGGAGGGAGTAAGCCTGACTAGGACCTGGTTTATCTCTCTCTTCATCTGTGAAAAGGAAGGGCTGTCTCTTATACCCATACACAGCCCCCATCTGACCTTATCTCTTAGAGAGAAAAAGACAGACAAACCTAGACCTCCATTCATCCAACACATATTTACTGAGACCTACTTTATACCAGGCCCTGTTGCACACAGTAGTAAATAAAGTCCCTACAATAATGGTATATAATTCCAGTAGGGGAAATATATAGTGTGCCAGATGACGGTAAGCAAAATGAAAAATAAAAACAAACAAAAAAAACCACACCAAAATCTGGGTTGGGGGAATAGAGAGGGAAAGGTGTTATTAGTTACCTATTATTGCATAACAAATTACACTCAAACTTAGCAGTTTAAAATAACAAACATTTATTTGATCTCACAGTTCTGTGGATCAGGAATTTGAAAGTGGCTTAGCTGGGGGATTCTGGCTCACTGTCTCTCATGAGGTTGTGGTAAAAATGCTGGCTACAGTTGCAGTCATCTGAAGGTTTGACTGAGACGGGAGGATCCACTTCCAGGATGGCTCACTCACAGGGCCGTTGGCAGGAGGCTGTTCTCCCCAGGTGGACCTCTTCATAAGGGAGGACTTCATGCCTGAGTGTCCTCCCAACATGGCAGTTGATTTCCCCCCAGAGAAGTAACCAAGAAAGAGGCTAAAGAGGCAGCAATGCTTTTATGGCCTAGTCTTGGAAGTCACACACTGTCACTTCTGCCGTATATTATTTGTTAAAAGTACATAATTAGGTCCAGCCCACATTCCAAGGTAAGGGAATTAGGCTTTACCTGTTAAAGGGAGGAATATCAAAAATTTCATGGAAGTATTTTAAAACCACCACAGAAGGGCTGTTATTACACACGTTAAGGGAAGGACTCACTGAGCAGGAATTGAAGGAGGGGAGGAAAAAAGCCATGTGGTTACCTAGAGAAGAGCATTGCAGGCAGAGTAGCTGGTGCACATATCCTAAGGTGGAAGTTTGCTTGATGTGTCAGAAGACAAGCAAGGAGGCCACTGGGCTAAAACAGGGTGGCTGAGGTGAATGAATGGTCAGAGGTAACATGGGCCTTGGAGTAGGTTCCTGGAGGAAGTGAAAGGACTGGATGAGATGGGAAGGTGATGGAAATGTCTGAGCAGAGGGTGAAAGGCTGTCTGGCTGTTGTGTGGAGAACCCTCCACATCGGATGCAGGCATGAGGATCAATTAGGAGTCCATTGCAATAATCCAGGCAAAAGATGATGGTGGTTTGGACCAGGGTAGTAGCAGTGGAGGTAACAAGTGGTTATATTCTCGATATGTTTCAAAGATGAAACTGACAGGATCTGTTGATGCCTTGAATATGGGATGTGAAAGAATAAGAGGTATTCAAGATGACTCCAAGGTTTTTGGCCTAGGCAGGTAGGTAAATGGAGATATCCTTAACCGAGATAGTAAACTCTAAAGGAAATGCAGGATTGGGAGAAATCAGTTTGTGTTGGACATTTTAAGTCTGAGATGCCAATTAGACAACCAGGTGGAGATATCAGGTAGAGATGGAGGTAGTTGGTTATCTGAAGTTGATATCTGTAGCTCAGAAAAGAGGTTTACACTGAGACAAAAAATTAGGAGTCACCACATAGAGATGGTAAAGGTCCATCCATGTTGTTGCAAATGGCTTTTTTGATGGCTGAATAATATTCCATTATATACACGCATACCACATTTTCTTTATTCATCCTTGAGGGCATTATGCTAAGTGAAATAAGTTGGCTAGAGAAAGATAAATACTCCATGTTCTCACTTATAATGGTATCTAAAAAAACAAAACAAAACAAACCTCATAGAAACAGAGAACAGATTGGTGAATGCTAGAGGCCACATGTGGGGGATATGGGTGAAGGTGGACAAAAGGTACAAACTTACAGTTATAAGATAAATAAGTCCCGGGCATGTAATATACAGCATAGTGACTATAGTTAACAGTACTATATTGTATATTTGAAAGTTGCTAAGAGTGTAGATCCTGGAAGTTCTTATCACAAGAAAAAAATAATTTGTAACTATGTGAGGTGATGTTAACTAAATTTATTGTGGTAATCATTTCACAATATATACATATATCATTATGTTGTACGCCTTAATCTAATTGTGTCAATTATATCTCAATAAAATGGGGGGGGGGAGAGACATACATATGGTAGCTAAAGTCTTGGAATGATTGAGATCACTTGTGTAGACAGAGAACTTTGAGGATTAAGTACGTACTGGGAAGTCAGAGCTTTAACAGGTAAGAAAGATCTAGTAAAGGAGGCAAGGGAGTAGTGTACTGGAAACCAAAAGTATTTTAAGAGTGATTGTGTCAGGGCCGGCCGAGTGGCTCAGTTGGTTAAGAGCTCGCTCAAGAGTTTGAGCTCTGAGCAACAGCGGTTCGATGCCCGGCCCGAGCTGAGCCGCTGAGCTGCCAACAGGTAGCAGGATGGCTCAGCTAAAAAAAAAAAAAAGAGTGATTGTGTCAAATGAAAGCTAAGAAGACATAACCTCTGGATTTAGCAACAGAGACGGGAAGGAACCTGGGAACCTAGTCTTGTGTGAAAGAGGAGGAGATGTGAGGGGAGCTGGGGCATCCCTGATAGATGCTGGCTGAGCCTAGAGGAAGAGCTGGGTTACAGGAGAAATCCTTGGAGGCTTGACTTTGCAACCCATAATCCACGGAGAGGCCCCAGCCAGTACCTGTCATGGCCAACGTGGTGGTGCCGTGTCAGGAAGGCCATTTTGCCTGGGCCTCACATTCATTCACAGCTACAAATTTAGACTTTGGATGTTGTTTTCACATGATTACACATGTAGTCTTGTATTTTTGTTCATTCGAATGTCAAATTTTTAGAAGAGACAATTTTTACAACCATGTTCCTCCCATTTTTAATATACAGTGATACCTTGGTTTGTGAGCACAATTCGTTCCAGAAACAAACTACTCATACTGCAAGACATTGCTCGTTTACCACATTAGAATGTATTAGAAATATTTGCTCATCTTGCAGAACACTCACAAACCAAGTCACTCGCAATCCAAGATTTTACTGTACTAGGAATCCTAAGAAGTGAGAGTGGCCTGGGCCTTACTCAACCTCAGAGCAGGGCTAGGAGGATGAGGCAAGTGAGGCATCCAGGGCACAAAATTTAAGGGCAAGTGCAGGGTACCTGGATGTGCACCTTAGGCACCTCTCTTGCCTCATACTATTGGGTTGTCGGAAAAGTCATGACGCATTTTTGCAACAAAAAACAGAAAAAATAAGTCATGACTTTTCCAACAACCCAATAGTTCCAGCCCCACCTACCTAAGACACCACCAGATAGTGTGCCAGCTCCCTCCCCCCAGGAGCCTCCACATTAGTGAGGGGTCCTGGAGAAGGCAGGCTGGAGAATAGAAACTCCTGGGTAGGAAGTGGACGTGGTACTGAGGAAACCCAGAAAAAAGCAGAGAATTTGGCCTCTTTCAGCTCAAAAGTGGGTGCACACTGCCACCTCGTGGCCATCCAGGGCAGGACGCCCAGGACTGTTTCCAGGCTGGCACTGGCAAGACCAAGACACACATCTCATCCAGCCTCGTTTTTGGTTTTTTTTCCATTTATTTTGTTCTTTAGATTCCACATGTAAGTGAGATCACATGGTATTTGTCTTTCTCCATCTGACTTATTTCACTTAGCATAATACCCTTAGGTCCGTCCATATTGTTGTAAATGGTACAGCCCTGAATTTCTTAAACTGCAGCGTTCAAAATTTGTGGAGAGGATCTAATTAAATTTACTGACTTTAAGACCTCAAGCCAGAATTGACCTTTGGGGATTGGGCACAGTAATCTGTAGAGTCAATGAGCCTCCTATCTCAGTCTTGAGCACACTCAAGTATACAGCTACTGTCTTATAAACTCCATCTCACAACAAGGGAGAGGCCTTCCTGAGGACCCCCAGGAATTAGCAGGTTTTCCTGCTGCTCAGATACACAAAGAAATGTAACTGTTCAACAGATCTTTATTAACAGAGACAGATGGACAGAGAATGCAGCAAGGGCAGTCTAAAAGCTGTGATGGGTGTGTGTGTGTGTGTGTGTGTGTGTGTGTGTGTGTGTAGAAAAAGCCTTCTCTAGGCCAGGGATGGCCCCGTGGACCTAGACCCACCTCTCCAGATCCTCTCCCCAGGGGTGGGCCCTGGGCTGAGGTCAGCCTCCCCACCACACCTCTGAGGGAAGAATGGGGGTCTTTCAGGATAGGAGGGACCCTGACCTCAGCATCCTCATTTTTCTGGCTCCCCAGCTGACTTGGTCGCTGAGAGGGTGGGGGACAGGCCACGAGGGCACTTGCATAGCAGGGGAACAGAACAGGGGTAAGGCATATGGTGAGGACAGGGAGATCAAGGGGAAGGGCATCATAGCTGCAGATGAAGGGTGCCTCCAAAGGCAGCTCCTCATTTCCCAATTGCTGCTGGGTTGAGGGGTCAGACCCAGGCAGAGTGTAATACCCACCCTCACTCCTAACTCCAGAGCCCTGTCTGGGGGCAGGGAAGCTCTGGAAACGCCTGAGTTAGTGAGTGAAGCGTGTGTTATGGGTGTTTGAATATGACTGGACCCCTTGGTATATGTGGGGCTCCCTCTCTGAGTGGTTGTGAATGCACAATGTTGCTGTACACATGGGATTCGGTATCTGAATGCATGTCCCATGTTCCCACAGGTCTCTATGTTTAGTTGTATAAGCATGTATGTCCTTTCTTGTACACCAGGAACTCAGTATCTGTATGTTATGAATATGTCCTTGTCTTTTCACATAGGCTCCAGCAAGTGGATGTTGTACAAGCCTGCCTGTTCCTGTTCCATCCACAGGTCCTTCTTCAGGCCTGGCTGGTCAGGGGTCCTGGCCAAAGAGGTAGGTAGTGAGCTCGAGCCGGAGGCCCCGGGCATAGGCGCGAAGAGTGTAGAACAGGGTGAGGAAGTCCTGAGTGCTGAAGATTGTGTCAGCCAGCGCGAAGGCCAGGGTAGATGGGATTACACCCCGGCCATACTCCACCATCCATGTGTTTGGCCCCCACTCCACAGCGGTTGCCTCACCAGGTCCGTGCACCACTGTTTCCCCTGGGGGACACGGAGCACCCACATTAGGAGCTTACCCCTGCCCTTCCATTGCTGCCACCTCCCTGGCCCATGGGCTGTCTAGTGGTAGGTAATGGAGAGGGAGCTTAAGGAAAGGAAAAAGCCTGACCTCACTGGCCAGGTTGGCCATCTGGAGAGGTAAAGGCCAAGATGGCCATTCCTGAATTTTCCTCTGGCTTATGTCCTCCCTTGGGGGAAGCCAAGGAGGGGCACCTCACCTGGTCATGGGCCACTGTACAGGAGTCATGAAAGTCTGCATTTCCAAGCAAGCCTCACTCATATCAAGCAGAAATTTAGCTAAACTTGGGCTGAGCCTGTTAGATACAGAGGGGTGGTTATAAGACTTGTGAGGCTTTCTGAGAAATTTAACTGTTCAATTACAATGCCTGCCATACTTGTCACACTCAACATCAAACTTACTTGGAAGTCCAAACCTACTTTTTATGTAAAATATTTCACTGTATAAAAAAGGAAGACAACTGTCTGCTTTGTCTTTGGAGGTATGAGAAATTATAATCAGAAATTATCTAATTGTCTCCCCAACAACTGCTGGAGCACTGGATAAGTAAAATAGTGTCTTGGTAGATAAGAATCAGACATGGTCAACAGGAAGCTGTTATGTTTGTTTCCTTTTGACAGAGGAAAGCAACAGGGAAGTCTTCAACCCTGCCTCAACCAACCACCTGTAGCCTATCTAGGGGGGTAAGGGAACCAGGGGGAGGGCCCTTCAACACACCACCTTTCTATGCCATGGCTCTCCTCCCCAACTATGGGCATCACAGAATGAAGGGACCCACTTCTCTGACAGAACTTCCCTACCCACCTGGGTAGAAGACCTCACTTTTGGTAGTGCCCTCTCTCCACTGGTGGAAGGTGCCAGAGATGATGGTGTCCGAGATCTCAGCCCAATAGCGCCCTGCGGGACAATCAGATGAACACCGAATAGCAGGGTATCTCTGCTATCACATGGCCTGGCCAAACAGAAAGGAGGGCATGGGCCCTTGTGCAGCCCCAGCCTCCCAGTCCGGCCCACCGCCAGCACTGACCAGAGTGGCCGCCAGAGCCCAGGGCGGTGCCGAAGAGCAGCACGTACTCGGACAGCGAAGCATGCAGAAGGCACATGGCGCCCATCCAGCCGCCCGCGTTCACGAACACCCACTGCAGCTCCTCATCCGGCAGCACGTGGCCTGGGTGCAACCGCCGCAGCTCCACGATCAGCCGGGAGAAGGCCAGTTCGTGATCCAGTCCTGACGGGGACAGAGGAACAACACAATCAGGGCCAGCACCGGCCCCGAACTTGGGAATGACGCCCTCGGAACCCCCAGCTCGGCCCGGAACTCCCCAGCCCACTGCCTTCCACCCGTTCATTCACTCGCTCACCCGCCCGCTCGCCCGCTCACCCGCGTACTGCCGCGCCAGCTGCGCGATCTCTTCGTGCTGGAAGACGAAACTCTGCGTGCCCTGCCAGAGCCAGACCACCTGGGCGAGTACAGCCGCTGCAGCCAGGAGCAGCGCGGCCCACGCCCACCGCCTGCCGACGGCCCACTGCATCCCAGAGGGCAGCTTGACAAAACGCAGCACAAGTGGAAGCTGGAGCCTGAGGCTATGCTTCTCCCACCCTCCTAGCCTACCGCGGGCCCTCCAGGACCCGTTCCCCCGCCACCACCGTGGTACGGCTCTCCCTGGCCAATCGGAACTGTCCGGGCTCCCCAGGCACCGCCCCCTAGGATTGTACCATTTGCTAGCGGGGAGCAGGGAGCACGGAGGGGTGGGGCAGCGCTGCGCGCAGGAGGTAAAGGGAGAGGGGCCAAGCCCTCCTAGCTGCCTACATTAGGGCCTCCAGGCAGGGTCTCTCGAGCGCCATCCTACTTGCTGGTAGGGGTTGGTGGCGGTGAGACCCAGAAAGGACTCCCCCCTGGTCTCACTGACTGGTGAAACGGGCGAGCCCGGAAGCAGAGCCTCCCCGCATAGCCTTCCCGCATTCGTGATTCTTAAGGCCCACCTTTGCTAGCACAGAAGGCGGTTGGAGGAACTTCAACCTGGGGATGAAGGCGTTCTGGAGGCGGTGACACCTGAGCAGTGTCTTTAAGGGAGTTGGGAAGGGCATTCCAGCCAATGAGACCTACTCCAAGAGCAAAAGCACCCAGGAGACAGTGTGGGTTCTTCAAGGGCCTACAGTTCATTCTTTCTTCTGAAACAAAATGTGAGAGGAGGCTTTTGTAAACCAACTGAGGGTTATGGTAGGGGAGAGATTAAAAAAAAAAAGAGAGATGCAAAAGCAAGAAAAGAGGCAGCATAGTGCAGGGGTTAAGAAAGAAACTCTGGAGCTGGATTCTCTGGGTTAAAAGCCTGGCTCCTACCACCTACTAGTTGTGTGATCTTGGGCAAGTTACTTAAACTCCTTGTGACTCAGTTTTCTCATCTGTAAAGAGACAAGTGAAAGTACCTACTTCATAGTACATACCTTCATTGCGATGAAGAGTAAATGAATTAATATTTATAAAGCAATTAGTACCTGGCACATGGTGTCATATGTGTTAGTGACATAAAACATAAAGGAGAGGAAACTGGAAGAGCTTGGCCTTACACGTGAGGGTGATGAAATGAGGGGTCAACACAGTCAAATATAATTGAGAGGTCCAATAAAATGATGGAAAATAGTCATTAGGTTTCTCAGTAGGGGCATGTAGCAAAGATGATGCTATACATTCACAAATCCATTTCCTTTTGCCCTTGAGCAGCCAGGTTATGTTCCACAGTCTATTCTATAGTTAGATGAGGCCATGTGATTGTGTTCTGGCTAATGCAGTAGAGGCAGAAATGATGTATACGTCACTTCCAGGTCTGGTTCCTAAAAATCTTCTGTGAAGTTCTTTACGTTCTTTTTTCCTCATCTATTATCACAGTTACATAGAGTTAAGCAGTTACTGGAGAATTCAGAATGCTGTATGTGACAGAGCTCGCCTTCTCCCTCACAATGGACTGTGGTGCTAAGCCACTGAGTTTGGGGGTTGTTTGTTACAGCAACTAAGATTACTTACCCTGAATAATACAGAGCAAAAGACACGTTGCAATGTTCTGTGCAGGTAAGTGTAGAGGCGGGGAAGATGGACTATTTTTTGAGAAACTATGCCAAGAAGGGGAAGATAAAGAAGGGATTATCTAGAGGAGAATGCAGAATTGAGGGAACATTATTATTTTTTTTATTAGCTCTAGTTTCTGTGACACTCCTGGGCTGACCATTCTCTAAGAACCCTGATTAGCAGGGCTTAGCCAAAAAATCTGTCTTCTGCTTCCCTGTTCCAGGCAGAACCCTCTGGGGCTATCTAGGCCTGCAGTTCCCCTATCCGGTCTTTCAGAAATCTCCAGCACACACTATTTAAAAACAAACAAACAAAACCCCAAATTGTCCTTTGACCTTGAAGGGGTTCAGAACAGAACTCCCTAAGATGTGCCACTTTGGCATGTGAATTATTTTGAGCTGAAGGCAATTGAGACCTTGTGGGCTCACAAGAAACTTTTGCCTCTCTCTTAAAGAATTTAAATTTAGGTCCTTGCCCATAATAAGAGTTATTACCAGAAATAACTTCATGACCTATCTATATAGCAGATATATACTTATACAGATATATACTTCTAATTACTGAACATCTGTTGTTATCATCCTGCAATGACCTTCTTACCTGAAGCCCCAAGGTTCTTTACCTCATCCTTAGCTCAGAATGCTATGTATACCTCATTTTAACTTCCTGTCTCTGAACCTTTCATGTATGTGAAGTCTATGACTCTCTCATGTATGTGACGTTCCCATATGTACACAGGTAATTAAATTTTGTTGCTTTCTCTTGTTTTTTTAAGATTTTATTGGGGAATTGGGGGAGGGGAACAGACAACTTACTGTCCTTTTGTTCTTCAGTCTAGTTGTGGAGGACGTTGCTTCACTGGCCCATGTTGGTATTACCATTGCATTCTTCCCGGGTGAGGGTCGCTTGCTGGCCATTGGACGGCTGCTCATGGCAGCTGACGAAAGCTCACACCAGCTGCTGGTCAGCCCCACTGTAGCCTATGCTGTCACTGGCGACTCACGGCAGCCCAGCTCCAGGTGGAGCTGTTGTTCACCATCTTAGCTGTAGAGGGCGCAGCGTCACTGGCCCACATGTGGGATCCAAACCGGGGCCCTGCTGCTCAGAGCTGGTGTCCCAAGCCAACTCTTAACCAATGCGCTACTTGGCCAGCCCTTGTTGTCTCTTGTTAATGTGTCTCGTCGATTTGATTATTAGACCAGCCTTAAGAACCTAGAAAGGTAGAAGAAAGTTTCTTTCTCCTCTACAGCTTTCAGATGGTCTAAGGAAGGGGAATAAGGGTCTGGGGGGGGTCACAGCCACCTTCCCTAGATATCATAGAAGAGATTACACCTCTGAGATCTTGGAGGGAAAGGGCTGAGTAGGTCCCATCTCAGCCAGCCTCTTCTTTCCCCCAAAAAATGACCTAGGAGAGAAACAGAGAAAGGAGAGTTTTGATGATAGTCCTGAAGAGATGTTTTTGAAGAGGGTCAGGAGTTAATAGTAACATGATCCAGGGAGTGACACTGAAGCACTGGTGTTCTTGGGGAAAATGGGACTGCCTCCAAAATCTATTCACTCAAATAATAAAGACAGCTGAGAGAACAGAAAAGCAGATCTTCTATTCCCCCTTTCCCCCTATACTATGAGCAGCCAGTGAAACAGGTAGTCACATGCCCCTCTCAACCCTTCTCACCCTCACACACGCACCCTTTCTCAGCTCCCTGTTCCCTGCCCCCTACCTAGTGGCCTTTTCAGAATTCAGTCAGAGGACCCTAGGGCAGAGATTAGGTAAATGACCAATGACCCAGTTTTTGCATATGAGCTGCAAAACACCTGGCTTGGCCAGGCCTGGCTTGAGGGAAGGGGCCTCCCTACCTCTGCCCAACTTCTAGTTTACTTGAATTTCATTAAGGTCTTAGGGGCATCTTAGAGTAGTGGGAAGAGACAGGAAATTTGGGTTCAAATTGTAGCGTGGCCACTCATCCTCTGGGTGACCTTGAGGCCTCTGCTTCCCACTGTGAAATTGGGAGGAGGTTCAGACAATATTTAGGTGGCTCTTGAAAAGTGCCAGGAGAATAATTAATTTGAATTTTATTCTAATATTAGCCAACTGGTTTGATCCAAGGAAAAGTTGGAGAAGGGGAGGGGATGTGTAAACAACCCTGACCCCACCCAGATGGTGGCTGGAGTTACTGATGGTCCTGTCCTCCCCACATTTTCAGATTTTTTATAGCCTTTTTACCTCACCCGTTTGTGCTTTTGGTGTGGGCAGGGGATGTGGTGGGGGAGAAAGAGAGAATATGGTTATGTTGATGAAAAAAGTGTCCAAACCTTTAGAAAGTTTGAAGTTTATTTGAGCCAAATTTTGAGGACATGCCTAGAAGCAAAATCTCAACAGATTGAGAAAATACACCGGAAAATGGCAGTTTTGTAGTTCCTTTTATACATTTAGAATCAAAGAATAAAACGTAAGGCAGGTACGTGAAATCCATTGGTGGTAGATTAAGGAGGTGGGAGAAAGCAAAGCAGGGAAATCTTTAGGACTGGATAAAAAGTAAAATGGAGAAACATACTTCTTTCACATTGGTGGGTACAGGATAGTTAATAATGAACATTTACAGCACAGAGAGATGGTACATAGGGAAAAAGATAACAATGAGGGGTTCTGTGATCTTGCGCAATTGTGCAGTTGTGTATTTGAGGGGTCTGGAAAAGAAAATTACTCTGGCATTTTAAAGATATGTTATTCTAGATGCATAAGAACAATGAACAGAGAGCTCACTTAAGGTAAAGATTGACCTTTGCTGAGGAAGATAGATATATATATAGGCTTGGGCTGTGACTACCCGCTATGACCTGTCTAGTTAGGAATTTGTGATCAGATCACCATGTGTAGTTACTTTTGGTCACTGAGCTTGTCAGGCTTATTACATAGCCTCTTTTTCATTCACAGTTATTTAGCCTTTTCTTCTCCAAATCTGTTTCTGCTACCTGAAGGGGATGAAGTATGGTTATGGTGAAGTACCCACTCCTCCAGGTAATACTTGAGGCCAGGGTTCAGCTGAAGCAGATCAATGCCTGATTCCCCCCGCCCCACACCCCTTTGCTTGTCCTCCACCATAGCCACTGAGCAAGTAAATGAGGTCATTGTGGATCCAGGGTTATACCCTTACTTGGCCCTAGAATGTAAACCCCAGGAGGACAGAATCCATGCCTGACTTGTGCACACAGGGGCATCTTTTTGCCCCATGTGGAGCCTAGGTGCCTGACACAGGGTAGACAGATACTCAGTAAATATTTGCTGAATGAATGACCAAATGAATGACTGAATACTGTAAAGAAATCTTGTAAGTGTCCTGGAGCCAAAGGGTCTGCCGTAAGGTATGTTTCACAGAAGTTTTTCCAGAGCTTTGGCCCTGGAGTGGAGAGGGATCACCAAAGTCACCCCCTATAGAGCTAGGCTGCCCTGAACCACACCCCCAGGTGGCTGGTCGTTCCCTCAGACAGTCACGCGCCGGCGACCAGCCAATCATCGGGGGCGGGGCGGAGCTGAGAAGACAGAGAGATGGGTGACAGGCCCCTGGGCAGACGTTCCTGATTATCCCCCCGCGACAACTTGTAGCCTCATGTCGAGCAGCGGAGCGGGTCCTGAGCAGAACCGGCAGGCGTCAGAAGCGGACGCCACCACTACAACCTTCCTGGCAAGAGGTAACTGCAAGGTGGGCGGGACTCACTGGGACGCGGAGCAGAGCCCTTCCTTTTCTTAGGAAGTTGAAATCCCTACCCCCAGGTCGGCGCGCCTACCCCGCCAGGCCTGCGCGGCGGAGACACTCTCTTGTTGGCCTGCAGGCTACTTGGCGCTGGGAACGCCCAAGCCCAGCCCTTCAGCTCCTGAGCTGGACGGGGCCGAGAGGGTGTCTCCGAGTTTTGGCCTGCGGGTGGGTGAGACCCAGGAACGAGGGGGGAAGAGAGATCTGCTGACTGATCTTTACTCTTTGCCCCCAGAGCATCAGCATATCCGCTACAACCCGCTACAGGATGAGTGGGTGCTGGTGTCAGCTCACCGTATGAAGAGGCCCTGGCAGGGGCAAGTAGAGCCCTCGCTTTTGAAAACAGTGCCCCGCCATGACCCCCACAACCCTCTGTGTCCTGGGGCCACACGGGCCAATGGAGAGGTGAGCCTTTAGAGCCTACATCTGCAGGCTGGGCCAGGGGGAGTAGCTCCCCCTTAGAGCTACCCCTCACCCACAGGGTAGTGGACCATCTTCTGGGTCATATCTCATCAAGTCTTTTTGACCCCAGAGTGGGTCTTCCTCACCGTCTTGTAGCCTGTCCAGCCCTTGAAGCCCACCAGATGACCCGTGGTATGGGGCAGCGTGTCACGTCCTGCGTGGCAAGGGCAAATGGGACACGAGAGGGGCGACGCAGATTGAATAAGAACAAGAGACAGAGGTAAGATTTAAGAGCGAGACCAAGGGACTCAGCCTTCAGAGATAGACTGAGCCACCGAATCCGGTCGACGCATGGTTTTTATTGATTATTTTCAAGGAAGTAAACT